AATGAGGCAACATGGGAAATGCAGGCCTAATGTCAGCGCGTAGGGTCAAAGCAGTAAACTGGTTTCATTGGGGTCAGTATTTTAGAGTATTAGTATTTTAAGTTCCCTTCTATAGTGTGGTGTTGGTGTCAGCGTGGGCATATTTTTACTAGTCTGCTCACAACAATACAATGTCATCGGCTAATAATGATAGCAGTGAGAAGCCGCGGTGATGTAATACTCAGGGAGGCGGCTGAATTAAAGCCTGTTTTAAATATGTCAACACGGCGGAGCTATGGCCGACCGTCGCGCACACACACACACACCCACACACACACACACACACACACACACACACACACACACACACACACACACACACTCTTTTAATTCCATCGCTCTGTCAGCTTTTATTAAAACCCATTTGTCACGAGAGAAGGGGAAGAAAGGGAAAGTATAGTGAAGTGCAGGGGGGTGGGGTTGGGTTGGTGGGTGGATGTACAGGCGGGGGTTGGGGGGGGGGGGGGGGGGGGGACACACAGATGGAGTGAAGAAGAAGAGAGAGGTCCAAACAATGGAAGGAGAGGTGGGGACAAAGAGTTTCTCCAGATAACAGGAGCGCTGGGCTGGTTGGGAGAGGGTCCTGTAGGTGGTGTATAGTGGGGGGAGAGCAGAGGGAGGTGGTGCTGCAGTGATTAATGGTGGATCTCAGGGTAGACTAGACCAATGGGACCCCCCCCCCCCCCCCCCCCCTGCCGACACCCACAGCCCACCTCTGTGCCCATTTGTAACTGTCTCGGGAAGCGCGTCCGTCAGGGTCCCGTCCCGGTGCCCTCTCTTTTTGGTGAAGAATGAGGGATGCGTCCACACAAAACTAAACAAACATGGATTCCCACAAAAGGGTTGGTTAAAACTTTGTCAGTAAATTCAGTTTTGTAATTAGGAACAATGTTTTTTTTCCTTAAAATAACGAATAGGTCGTGTCAGACTGTGGAACATTAACCTCACAGAGACGGGATCTTTACGCACCAAAGACAGCTGGAAGTTTATTCTCAGCTTCCTTCAGATTTTTCAGGTTTTTTTTCAGACAGAACCAAATCAGGATATGGTTTATATAGTCAACGTTTACACACGTCATACATGGAAAAACATACATGTCATCTAGAGACATCGAATGAATATACAAAGACATTGAAAGAACATAACAGGGATACACAATCGTAGCAGATACACAATCGTAGCAGATACACAATCGTAGCAGATTACCCATTATACCTTGAAAATAATTGAGATGCCATGTATTTAAGGATATATATATATTTTTTTTACAGAAGGCTTTGATGTAGGAGTGTCTAAGGACAGCGGTGATGATCCAGAACACGCAACATTCAACGACATTTATGGACTTTTTCAACATTTATAGGAATTGGTCTCTGCCTCTTATGGACCATTGGCTCTATGTGTTTGTCACCGGTGGATTTCTTGTGTTTGAACCAGTGGAGGCGGGTCCCGGCTCCAAAAAAGTCCATGTTGCAATCTCACTCCTTGCCTGTGGGGGTGTACCTGGAAAGAGAATTACCCAATGCTTTTGTATGGCGTCTTCTTTCCTCTTGAAAACGTCTTTACGGAATGGTCCTAAAGTGGTTCTTGGTCCAAAGCTGTCGATGTTGAGGGGAGTATGTGTTTTTGGACTGGTCTAGATTAGCCGCTGTGGACTTTTGAAGGCACTGGGTAAATGAATGGGGCTAGTGCAGCTAACGCCTTCAAAAATGCGTTTTTTTCACGTTTTTCTGCCCTGCGGCCATTTTGAAAAAGCCCACAGAAGGCAACAGTGGTGGCACATTAATTTTTTAACAGCGGAGATAGGTGTCTCTGAACCAATGTTGTGATTTAGGGCTATAAAAGAATAACTTCAATCCAACAGTTTAATTTAACAGTTTTTAGTTGTAGGTAGCTCAGCTTGAACCGAGGTAATTAATTCTGATTGTTACAGCCAGGACACGGTTGATGAAAACGATCAATGTTTGAAGAAAGACTCCTATGTCCCAAAGCATTTTCGATCGATAAATGATTGAACCTTGCACACAGCACCTGGCATTGAACCCTCGGCTCAGTGGGAAAAAACTCACTTATGACAAAAGTAGGACATAAAGTCACAATAGTCAAACTTACTTTACAACAGCACAACACATTGGGTATAGACATCTGATATTTTGTACTTTATTTTTTCTTCCTTATGCTGTAGTTACATTTAGATTTGCTTCCTTTAAATGCTACAGATGTTATACTCGCTTCTTTATTATGCTAAAGTTAGAGATTTGAGTTGAGATATCTTGTGCTGTGTGCTTCTCATTCTAACTAAATAAAGAATCTCTTAATCTTAATCTATTTGTCACCTGTTCTAGCCCAAGGATTTTGTATTCTCACTTTTAGACTGCTTTAGACGTACTCTCTGAGCACTGCAAAAATTGATCAAATGTGAGGTAATAAATGCCTGAATTGGGGTTTTTTATCCTAATTTGAGCTCATTCTGACTGTGTTAAAACTAGATTCTCCAATGGGACCAAAAATATGATCTTTTTTCAAGAACTGTTGCTTTACTTTCTCATTCCCAGGGAGACATTACTTGTATCTATTCAAAACAAGGTCATTTTGCTTTGTCCCACTGGCAAATCTTGTCTTGTCAAATTAAGATGGATTTCTGCAAATTTGAGCATTTTTTTGACTTATTTTTCATCCCTTTCTGCAGCGTGAAAGAAGTCAGACTTTTCCCATTCTGTCAAACAGCTCAGAGTTTCCTGTGTCTTCTGAAATGACTTCAAAGTGTCCCAGGCAGTCTCCTCTCCGGTCCTGTGCTCCCTGACGCCCTCTTATCTGCCGCTAACCCACGCAGCCCACACCTCCTACAATCAAAAAGGCCATTCAATCATTCATTCCGCCTTCACAAAAGCCTAAACATGAAAAATAAAAGACAAGAAAGAGCGTTCGGAAACACTTGTACAATACACTTTACGTCGGAATCACCGCCCGGCCCTGCTCTCATTCTAAGTGAATAGTTCATGATGCCACTTGACGAGGAAAAGGAGGAGGAAGACAGGTTGAAGAAGAAAAAAGGAGAAAAACGGGCAGGGGAGGGAGGGTGTAATACGAAGTGTGACAACATATGAATTTCAAATTTTCGGAGGAGACATCAAAGTCCACCATCCGGGGCGTCTCTCTCCGACAAGGACACTTTCTGATTTTTAATTCTGTCCCCTGATTGTATCGCTGAGGCCCTTAACGAAGAACGCCGAGAAGTCAGAGAGGCAAGCCAGAGATAGAGTGACGGAGGGAGGGAGGAGGGAGGAGAGCGGAGAGGAGGCGCGCAGATCAGACAAGGAGGAAGGATAGAAGAAAGCAAGGCCTCATCCAAACACAGCGCCGCGGCCCTTTGTTGTCGAAGCCATCAGAGCTGTTCTTTCATCAGGAGCAGAGATGGAGAGGAGCTCAGCGGCGGAGAGGCAGATCCACCGGCTGTTCTGCTGGGTGACAGGGACATGGTTAGAAGAGGGCAACTTTTTCTTTTTTTTTTTTTCACCCGTCGCTGGTATGAAATGGAGAATCCTCTTTCCAAAAGCCTTCTCATGTGGAGCGGCCTTTGAACAGCAGCGCCTACATGTGTGCGAGAGGAAAGCGCCTAGTTTAACCCCAAACAAATGAGACGTTTAGGGTAGAGTCAATACGTGCATATGCTGCTTTGTGTGTGTGTGTGTGTGTGTGTGTGTGTGTGTGTGTGTGTGTGTGTGTGTGTGTGTGTGTGTGTGTGTGTGTGTGTGTGTGTGTGTGTGTGTGTGTGTGTGTGTGTGTGTGTGTGTGTGTGTGTGTGTGTGTTTACATGGGCCTGGGGTAAACAGAAGGATGATAAAAATGATTGTTGGAAGCAAAGCTAGCACGTGTGGCTGCTTCTACGATGGATTAAGATGTCCTGTATGGGTCCCACAGTGTGGAAATTCCAGGGCTGCATTGCCATTTACACAATAGTAAGAATGAGATCAAGATTAATGAACAATAACTCTATGCTAAAATAAAATAAAATCTCTAAGTCATGCATAAATAAGCAAATATAAATGATCTAGCTTTAGCAAAATAAGAAGTAAGTATAACATGTGCAGTGGTTCTATTTCTGCAGGGTTAGATTAAAATTTTAGCGATGAGACAATCTGAGAGAGACCAGAAAGAGAAACCCTAGAGAGAGACCAGAGAGAGACCAGAGATAGACTAGAGAGAGACCTGAGAGAGACCCGAGAGAGACCAGAGAGAGGCCAGAGAGAGACCTGAGAGAGATCTGAGAGACCAGAGAGAGACCAGGCAGAGAGACTAAAGAAGGACCAGAGAGAGAGACAAAAGAGACCAGAGAGAGACCAGAGAGAGACCAGAGAGAGAAACAAGAGAGACCAGAGAGAGACCAGAGAGAGACCATCTGTGTTTGTAAAAAAGTAAACAATTACTCGATTTTGATAAAGTGTTTCTTAATTCGAGCACATTTTGACTGAGCCTTAAAATAAGATTTTCCAACGAGACAAAGCAAAATGATCAAGTTTTATAAAGATACAGAAATGTCTCCGTTGGAATGAGAAAATAAGCAACATTTCTTGAGGTAAGACTAAATGGCTTGATGGAGAACGACACAAGAGCTTTCCTGGATTTCAACTCATCTTGTCCAATCAGAAAGCTTGGGCTTGAGTGTGGGCGGGTCTAACCAGTGCCTGCATTTGACATTTCTCTGTGTTCCCACAATTAGAAAAGTACCTAATTCCCTTTGAAGGCCTGTTGACGTTAGCATTGACTCCTGAACTTGCCTAAAAACAGTCGATTATTTCATACTAATCACCAAATATGACCAACATTGAGATCGTAAATGACTTGTAAAGACCAATATAAAGTCCTTTTGCATAATAATGTCATCTTTAAGTGAATCAAAGCAGTTGACCAGAGTCTTCCGCGCAGAGCTGAGCATATTTCTTGGCTCGCAGCACAACAGTCTAATTGCTGCAGATCGTCTCAGCAGGAATGTGGCAGGCCCCTGGCATTCGCTTTTCCTGGCAGTCACTGAGCTGCAGCGCCAGTGCCAGCCCGCCCTGCCCGCGCCCACCCCGGGGGATCCATACCTGATGGGACCCCCAGCGTGGGCGCGCCACACTTGGGCCCTTTGGAGGCGGATGGGACACTCCAGGGAGGCAGGGTGAGGTGGGAAAGGTCACGCCAGTGCCCTTGCCTCCGCTACACACCCAGCTTTGACTCCGGGACATTGGAGCATGATACACTGCAAAAAGTGATGACTAATAAGACAAATATTGCTCGAATTTGGCTAAATGTATCTTAACATCAGCACATTATGACTTGCAAGAAATGCAAGAATTTAGTCAAAGTAAGATGAGATTTAAACCATTTTTACTTCTATTTTCATCATGTTTGAACTGTTTTACGTCTCGTCTTCAGACCTGTTTTTATTCTTTGGCTTTAAACACCTCATGAGCCGTTTGGTCCTCTGTGTTTTTATGGTATCTATGGTTTTAATCTGTTTTATATCTGTTTATTGTTTTATTCTTGGTGGAGCTATAGAACACACATTCTACACTGCAAAAAGTGAAAAAAATAAGACAAATATTGTTCGAATTTGCTCATGCAGTTTAAATGTGCCGTTCGCTTTGATTTTGTTCTGGAGCAAATAAAAAGCTCAATGAGTGATAAGTTTGAAGACACCAGGGTGGGATTAAATACGTTTTTTTCTTCTTCCCACGCCTCATCTGCAAATGTTTCTCTTGAGTATATAATATTTATAATTTAGTATATTTTTGACATTCTACTTTTGCTTCTTGTTCACTTATTTGCTGGTATTAAACATGGCTTACTGACTTAAATGTATCTTAATATGGAACATTCTGACGGCCTTGAAACAGGATCGACCACAGGACAAAGCAGAATAATCTTGTTTTTAAAAGACACAAGAAATGTCAGAATTAAGTCAAAGTAAGATAAGATTTAAGCCATTTTTACTTCTATTTTCATCATGTTCGGACTGTTTTAAGTCTCGTTTTAAGACCCACTTTTATACTTTGACTTTAAACACCTCATGAGTTGTTTGGTCCTCTGTGTTTTTATTTATCTTCATATATTTATGGTTTTAATCTGTTGTATATCTTTTTATTGTGTTATCCTTGGTGGACCTAAGGATAAGTTTCTAATGCACATGTTATACTTGTTTTTGCAGAACTTCGGAATCTTGATTGTTGGTTAAGTGCACTATATAAAAAAAAGTGGATTGGATGTTTTGCAGTGCTCACATGTCGTAAAATCTGGGGCCAAAAAAATAAAATAAAATAAAATGAGTCATGAAGTTTTATTGAAAGTGCCGTGTCAAAAACAAGAGACGCTTTTTTATTTTTTGTTCTTTTTTTGTGTGAGAAACCGGTTGAACTGCTGCCATTAATCACAGAGAGAAAATGGGGAAAAGCTCCAAAGTTGAGCCCTGGATGTGAGCGGCCGGGATGGCTCTGCAGAGAGGCGCCTGAAGGCATCGCACATGAAACACCTGCATTTTACTGCCACGAGACTCAACTGTCCCCAGCGCTCTGCCTCAGATCAAGTCACAGCACGGAGCTCAGGCACCGGCAGCACAAGACAAATGAGACCAAGGTTTTTCAACTCAGGCTCCGCAAAGTTGGACCAAAGCCACCGGCAAAAGTCCGACGTCTCACTGCCCGACGCACTGTGCCGATCATGGACGTTTGTTAAATATCTGCAAGGAAATCTAGTGAGTAAGTAATGTTTATTTATATAGCGCGTTTTACAGACCAAGGTGCAGACCCAAAGCACTTTACACTGTTCAGAGTCAGATATTGTTCCAATCATGTCACGTGGAGAAGTGAATGAGGAAGGACCCAAAATGCAGGAATGCCAAAAAATAATTATTTAATGATAATAAAATAAAAGTCCAGGTAAAACTCAAAATCCAAAGGCACAAAAATCAAGGAAACAGGAACAGACAAGGACACGACGTTGACACTACAATGGACTAGCAACAAGAGGAGAGACGCACAGGGTACATATAGACAGAGACTGAAACACACATCAGGGCGGGGAAGACAAACAAGACAGGAAGTCAAACTAAAAAACCACAGAGAACTAATTTCAAAATAAAAGCAAAATACTAAAATAAAATCCACACCATGACAAATCCTTCCACACACGGTGATGACAGAAGCGGGTCTAGAACACACTGGACCATCAAAGCCTCTGACCCAACACCATCCATTCACTCTCTCATTTACATTCAGACCTATTGTGCATGTTTTTAGTGGTAGGGGAAACCGGAGCACCCGGAGGAAACCTACGCAGACACGGGGAGAACATGCAAACTCAGAAAGGCCCCGTTCCGACCGGGATTCGAACCCAGGACCTTCTTGCTGAGAGGCCACAGTGCCGCCCGATGAGAGAGTTGGTTTCTTTCTGAGAGGATTTGCTGTAAACTCTTGATTTAAAAAGACGTTCGGATTCTGTCTGTGGTGAGAGCATTTCTAAAAAGATAGAGATGAAAAATTAGTCAAAAATTACTCCCATTTTGATCAGAATGTAGCAAAATAAAAAATAAAAAACATTTGATTTGAGAAATGATGGCCCCTACAGTGTGTGACCACTGTAGTGTCACACGGTCAAGCTGTGAAAAGTGCCTTAAATACTGAATTAAGATTGAAAAACTGAGAAATGCAGTCGGTTCAACGATTTCACACAAGTATTTAGGAAAGGATTAACTTGTGAACGGGGTCTTGATTTTTAACAATGTTTCTGCAATAACAAGAGTTCATTCTTTGGTGTTTTCCCTTTGTCGGCAGTGACAGGTCAAACGTTTTCAAACACGTTGGTGGTATTTTGGCCCATTCCTCCATGCAGATGTCTTCTTCATACTAGATGGTTCGAAGCAAGAATGTCCTGGGTTCGTTGCTTCCTCCAGGCCTTTCTGAGTGGAGTTTGCATGTTCTCCCCCTGTCTGCGTGCCTGCCCCCTGTGACTCTGGTCTGAGAAAGGCGCTGCATAAATAAGCATTACTTACTTTAAAAATCAGACAGATGTGATTTTCACGATTTTTCTTCCCCATTTTGTCTCCCTTAGAGGTATATCTATGAGGAAGTTTACAGGGATCTATTTTTTAAGTGCTTTTGGTGGCAGACATACAGTTTTGCCGCACCGTATTTAGCAAACTTGTGTTTTGAATCCGTATCTTTAGCTCTACATCACACGTCCATGTTACTTTTGTAAGTGCTAAAATTATGTTCCTATTGGAGATGAAAGAGACAGTTATACATTATTCAAATTCAAGTGCACATCATCCAATTTGTCCTTACCCACTTTCTCTTCAAGAAAAAAAAACTGTCAAGTGCAGCCCTGGCAGCCCTCCTCCCAGCAGCCCCCAGCAGCCCCCAGCAGCCCCCAGCAGCCCCCAGCATCCCCCCAGCCCCAGCCCGAGCCTGGGTCTTGGCCGTGGTGTGGTGACCTGGGCCCCTCCCTGGCCTGCAGAGGGGTGCACGGCGCAGCAGCTGGGAGACGTACAACCACAATGCTCCTTTCGGGCGAGACGCTGCTAATCCCACCCCCGTCCTACCGCGCCGCTGAAAGGAGAAGTGCCAATCACAGCAGGCACCCTCGGGTCTCCGGGCCTGGGCTGGTCCCGCTCTGGGTTCCTCCCGTGCCCTCCCCTCTCGATCTGGATTATTAAGAAGCTCTTTGAGATACTGGGAGACACGTGTGCGCTGACAGTTAGTGGGTGTGGGCGAGATAAGGATAAAGAGAGAGAGGGTAAGGACAGATGGATGTGTCCTTGTTATTGTGGTTTCATGTGTTTCAGGTTCTAATGCGTCCTAAACTATCATCTCTCAGCAGAGATGGCGAGAGTGAGAGAATCAGGATTTTTACGTTTGATTTTCTGCATATTTTTTGCCTTTGAGTTTGGTTTCTCTCTTGTGTCTTTAACCAAAAACTCTGGCAGTGTTGACTGTTGATATGATACTGATAAATACCATCAATTCCTGACTATTCTTGGGTTTCTTATGACGTCGGGGCAGTGGTGCGAATAACAAACGTGGGACAGGACGTGACGTATCCTGGTGGTACAGTCTGCCGGGTTTATACACAGAGATATAGTAGAAGAAGAAGTGGTTTATACACAGAGATATAGTAGAAGAAGAAGCTCTGTCAAAACACCATATTTGTGTGCGGTGTACGCTTGTAGCAACCGCACAAATACAGAGAAAGACAAGAGTTTGTTCATGTTCCAACTGTGGTCTCATATAAAGAAGGACACTTTGAAACAATCACTGGAATGAGGCGGGCGAGGTGGATCAAGGCTTTCCAAGATAAGCGCCCCCTGCAGGCCACCCCAATGAAACGCACCAATTTCCTCTGTTATATTGTCCAAAAATGCCCAAAATCAAGACTCTTTTAAGAAATATTTTTAACCTTAGAATTGAGTGTTCCCCTCCTGATTAAGACTGTTACAACACACACACAGACACACTATAGTATACAGTAAATGCTCCAGTACACACACACACACACACACACACACACACACACACACACACACACACACACACACACACATATCCGCTCAGTAAACAGTTATTTAGAGGTGTCAGACTGCGCATGTAATCTGGCCTGGAATGATGAGTGTCTGTGCGCGTTTATGTCTCTGTGTGTGTGTGTCTATGCCTGTGTCTGTGTGTGTGTCTCTGTGTGTGTGTCTGTGTCCGTGATGGTGATCAAATCTAACAGACAAACCAAGGCCCTCTCGCTCGCCCGCTCCTGACGCGGAGGAGAGAGAGCGTGAGGGAACAGCCTCTGGCCACCATTATCCCCTCAGTGTGTCCTCAGTGTGTGTCCGTGCGAGTGTGACAGTGTGAAAAATAGTGTGTTTGTTTGCGTGTGCGTTGTTGTCACTGGAGCTCGCAGACTCGCGCTCCGTGTTGCCTGTTCAATATGCTGAAGCCCATATAAGTGACTGAGCCGGATGACAGGCCCGGGAACACCACAGTCAGTGCACTCTGAGGCCGGGAAGCAGCTGGGGCTGTGACATGTCGTCCTCCAGCCATGGGTTCACTTCCCATTACCAAGGTTCATCTCAACTGGGCTGGAGGAAAACTTTGCTTCATAGTCATTTATTTCATTTCTTATCGCAATTTTTTCCCTATTGCTTGAACACTTTAGACCAGGGGTGTCCAAACTTTAGCAAGAGGGCCGCTTTAGTTCATCAGACTGGACCTGGGGCCGAGAACCTGGATTTAAAAAACTGGACTTACTGGATTTTGGAATTTCAAATGGTTTATGATACGTCCTTATTAATCCACAGCTGCCCTTTATTTGGATGTTGTGACAATAAAGTCAACGATTGGATTCCAGAGGGTCTGGGATTTAAAATAAGGTATAGCATGACTGTATTGGTGAAGCTGAAGTTGGTTGGATGATGTCAAAGTGCCTCAATGGCAATGGACTTTCTGATTGGTGAAATGATGAAAATTAAATCAATAACAAGATTTAGGGGCTCTAAAACAAATCTTGAAATCCAAATACCTCTGAACTACTGTTATCAGTTAAATAAGTATTGGAAAAGAGCAATTTATTATTATGACAGATTAGGGCCCTTTAATGACGACAGATTAGGGCCCTTTAATTATGACAGAATAGGGCCCTTTAATGATGACAGATTAGGGCCCTTTAATTATGACAGAATAGGGCCCTTTAATGACGACAGATTAGGGCCCTTTAATGACGACAGATTAGGGCCCTTTAATGACGACAGATTAGGGCCCTTTAATGATGACAGATTAGGGCCCTTTAATGATGACCTGACATGAAAATCTTACATATTGCTGTTTTAAATTGTTGAGAAAGAGACAAAGACTAACTGTATATTTGACTCAGCAAAGTTCCCTGAGGACATGAGACTGGTTCTAGAACAAAGAGAGTTCAGGTTAAAACCAGTTTCAAACCAATGTCAAAACCTTCATCTTTGTCATCACTGCAGGGTTCACTATCTTTAAAGCTGAGGTACCTAACCTTCAAAGCATAAAAAATGGAACCCTAACCTGTCGTCTAACTAAAGCCCCCAGTTAGACGACTGAAAACCCACGACAGACCAATATCTGAGGAAATTCCTGGGTAACCATGGCTTCCAGCAGCTCTCTGGCCAATCACTGTTGACGTTAAGTTCCAGCTCGTAGTGAACCATAACAGGAGTTAAACAGGGCCGGTGGAAACGCTCACAAACAGGATAGAGCAGAGCAGAGCTCTGGGTCCTGTGTGTCCCCTGTTGCTGCAGACGGCTCTCTGCTTCTGGTGCAGACGGCTCCTTGGATGACGCTTCTTCAACTCTAAATTGTACCAGGTTTTAGCAGCAGTGCTAATTCACACGTGCAGTCTCTGACAGACATCTGTAGCATCGGGAAACTAGTAAGTAAGTATGTTTTTATTTATATACCGCCTTTTCACTGCAGATCTGAGTCTCAAAGCGGTTTACAATTGTTAATTTTGGGCATTTGTCTCTCACTCCACACAGAGATGGGAGGGGCCAGTACAGGAGGCACATGCCAGAACTATTGGACATATTTTTAGTGGTAGGGGAAACCGGAGTACCCGGAGGAAACCTACACAGACACGGGGAGAACATGCAAACTCCACTCAGAAAGGCCCTGGTCCGACCGGGATTCGAACCCAGGACCTTCTTGCTGAGAGGCGAGAGTGCTATCCACTCAGCCACCGTGCCGCCCAGGAAACTACAGGAAATCTCTACACATTTTATGAAGATTGTTTTATGCATGTCTTACTTCTATTTGTTTGTATTTATTAAAGATAATATCGTAGTTTGTGACTTCCTGTCAGTGCAAATAACTCTGATTCTGATTTGGAAGTAGATAATCCTTCTTTAATATTTAGATTTCTCACATGTTCAGGTTAGAAAGCAATTTGACTCATTTAACTCTGACATAACTTCTGATATTTGCCCGTTGTGGTCCACGGTGTAACGCCTCGCTGCACTTACCCCACATTAGTCACTCTCACCCTCGGCTCAGACCAATAACGGAGACGCCTGATAAACCAAGTGGTTTAACGACTCCTGCTTCATACTTTAAAGAGGCCGCGGAGAATAAATTACACCCATAAACGCTGCAGTGATGTCACAGAACCAGAGAGAAGTCGGTGTCGGTCCAACTCTACAGTGATGTCACAGAACCAGAGAGAAGTCGGTGTCGGTCCAACTCTACAGTGGTGTCACAGAACCAGAGAGAAGTCGGTGTCGGTCCAACTCTACAGTGGTGTCACAGAACCAGAGAGAAGTCGGTGTCGGTCCAACTCTACAGTGGTGTCACAGAACCAGAGAGAAGTCAGTGTCGGTCCAGCTCTACAGTGGTGTCACAGAACCAGAGAGAAGTCGGTGTCGGTCCAACTCTACAGTGGTGTCACAGAACCAGAGAGAAGTCGGTGTCGGTCCAACTCTACAGTGGTGTCATAGAACCAGAGAGAAGTCGGTGTCGGTCCAACTCTACAGTGGTGTCACAGAACCAGAGAGAAGTCGGTGTCGGTCCAGTGAGAGGTGGATGTTCAACTCGGAATGAAGACAAAAACATCATAATAATACATTTTATTTCATGGTCGTCTCAAGGAATCCTACAGATAGAGTTAAAATAAAGTGAAAATATATAATCCTAACGTTAACCCTAATATATATATAGTATATACAGTTAAATATATATAACCCTAACCTAAAGTTAAAAAGACTAAATATACAAGTTATAATAGAGCTAAATTAGTTTAAATACAATTAAATTACAGTTAAAAACAGCTTGAAAACAGTTAAAAAACAGTTAATAATGCAGTTAAAAATACAGATTAAACCAGCTAAAATACAGTTCAAATGTAGCTAAAATACAGTTAAATAACAATTAAAACAGTGTACGATTAAAATACAGTAAAAAAAAACAATTATACACAGTTAAAATACAGCTAAAATACAGTAAAAAAACCCAGATAAAATACAGTTAAAAAACATTAAAAACATTAAAAGCAGCATGAGCAGTGGATTGTGGGGATGATGTTAGTGAGTCTAAAGTAAACAGCCACCAATGTAAAGTTGTGAGGTATCTGACGGACTGGAAACGGGAATAATAGCTTAACAACTCAACCTTGGGACTGACAAGATGCAAAATCCCAAAAAATAAGCATCATATTTGAATTTTTTTGTAAATAAATCTAACCAAGATTTCACTTTCTTCACTGTTTGAACTGTGCTAAACAAATAAGCTGGCCTTACCAACTTTTTTACTGTCTTAAAAAATATATGTATACAGCCATCCCACTCATTCATATTGTCCTCATAACTTTCAAGTCTCTCTCATCACCACAAAACCAATATTTCCCGAGATACTCCCAGAATAGCAAACACATGAAATGGCCGATCCGGTCGCTTCCCAAATCTCTCTCTTCAACCACTAGGCACAATATTGTTGGACCTATTGGCTCCTCTCTCTCCACAATGACCCTAAGCGTGTGTATATATATGTACACGTCCCCACTTTGCACATCTCTCCGCCTCCTGCAGCGAGGGCCTCTCCTCTCGGCTCCCCTCGTGATAACTTTTAATGGTAAATCAACAAAGGGCGTACATGAAAGAAAGGCAAGCGTCTCCAGTTTGCAGGATGAAGAATTATTCATCAGAGCTGTAGTGTGTTGCACTGCGGGCGAAAATCCTGCAGCAGCCCTCCATTTTAATTGCCAGAAAATGACTGTAAATGATATAGAGAGAGCCAGGCGGAAAAACTGGGGGGAAAAAAAACTATTGGAAGTATATATATATATATATATGGAAAGGGGGGGGAACCTCAAATATACTGCCCTCTGCTAAAGTAGAGACGCCGAGTGCACCCACCCCATCCCCGAGTAGCCTAGAAAAAAACAAAAAAAACAGAGATAGTCCGTCCGAAAAAGAGAGAAAAGTGGGGGTGGTGTCTGAAAGGAGTGGCGGTGGATTAGGTGTGAGAGAGAGAGTTACTACGCTGTTTTTGTGCGGCGGACCTGCAGGATTACAGATAACAAATGTTAGCGGAGGACGGGCACCTGCTGCGAGGAGTGAGGAGTGGATGGGGAGGGGTCGAGGGAGGGGGGGGGGGGGGGGTATTTGGGGTGGGGTGTTACAACAGGAGGGAGGGATGGGGTTTTTGTGGAGCCATGCAGAAGGAGAGGGGGAAAGGAGGAGCTCAGGGTGGCGCATGCAGAAGGTTGGGGAGTGAATGTGTGGGTTTTGAGGCAGATGTGCGGAGATTGGAGAAGCCTGGGGGGTGAGAAAAAAGAAAAAGAATTGTGGGTAATCTGGTCACTTCACTGTTGTGACTTTATGAACGAGTGGATTTATCTCTGCTGTGGCGTGGAGACGAGACACACGCCGAGAGTTGAGTTACGGTGAAAAAAACTATTTTACAATGTCCCGTAAATGCTAGTTTTTTACACACGCTAAAACTGGTTGATATGAATAAATTATAACAAAAAAACGTATTGGTTTTCATTCAACAAATACAATTGACGACATCTTTACCTTCAACTAAACCATATCGTAAGACTTAACCAAAGCAAAAAAAATCATATGAAGCAAGGCAGGGCAAATTTATGTGTATAGCACCGTTCATACGCAAGAAAACCCAACGATAGATACAGTCACACAAAGCATTTAAATCACAGCAACCAACACAGACTCGGAGGAGCACAGGGACTGGCCTCCTGCTGGGACTCTGAGGAGCACAGGGACCGGCCTCCTGCTGGAACTCTGAGGAGCACAGGGACTGGCCTCCTGCTGGGACTCTGAGGAGCACAGGGACTGGCCTCCTGCTGGGACTCTGAGGAGCACAGGGACTGCTCGCTGAGGAGCACAGGGACTGGCCTCCTGCTGGGACTCTGAGGAGCACAGGGACTGGCCTCCTGCTGGGACTCTGAGGAGCACAGGGACTGGCCTCCTGCTGGGACTCTGAGGAGCACAGGGACTGGCCTCCTGCTGGGACTCTGAGGAGCACAGGGGACTGGCCTCCTGCTGGGACTCTGAGGAGCACAGGGACTGGCCTCCTGCTGAGACTCTGAGGAGCACAGGGACTGGCCTCCTGCTGAGACTCTGAGGAGCACAGGGACTGGCCTCCTGCTGGACCCAGAGTCAGGACTAAACATGGGGAGGCAGCGCTTCAGATTCATGCAGCTAAAATCTGGAACAGTCGTCCTAAAAATGTGAGACAGGCCTCCTCTCTGACAATGTTTAAATCCAGGTTAAAAACATGTTTATCTGCTACAACTGAAGGACGTTATCTCTCTATAATTGATTATTGATGATTTTAATGCCTAATGAATGACTGCTTCGATCATGTTTTGTTCTTGAATTGAATCTGCCATAAGTTTTTAACCAATTTTCCCATAAGTTTGTGTAAGCTCTCAGTCGTACAAGGATTAGTCAAAGCAAAGGAAGGTTTCTCACCCATCATCTGTACTTCTTAGCAAGTTTTCCCGACGTTTCGTCCTCAACCTAGCGGACTTCTTCAGGGAATGAATTCTCGGACCGCGCGTTGGAGATTTATAACCTATGGGTGTGGTTAGCCACACCCTAATCCTGATACTAACTCATAAACAATCTACGGTCTGCTTGATGTAGAAGGGAGCAGATCTAACGACAGGAAGTGGAACCATTTTCAGAACACATTAATTCGGTGGACCCTTTTATAAATTTCACTCGCGAGGATGCTAAGGAGAGTGAACTCGCCTTTCTAGATTGTAAGGTCATCATACTGGAGAACGGACAATTAGAGACTGAGGTCTTCAGAAAGTCCACTCACACTGACCAGTACCTGGCCTTTGATTCAAATCATCCGCTACAACATAAACTCGGGGTCATTAGAACGCTTCAACACCGAGCCCACCAGGTCCCCACAAGCTCGGAGGGAAAGAACAGAGAAACCAAACATGTTCACAGAGCACTTTCCAGATGTGGCTACCCCATGTGGTCTTTTACTAAAGCCCAAAGGACGAGAAAGGCCAGAGACACAGTCCAACAGACAGAAGAAAGTAGGAGGAGAGGCGTGTCCTTACCGTATGTGGCGGGAGTTTCAGAGAAACTACAAAGAATCTTTAGGCAACACAAAATCCCTGTGTATTTCAAACCTTTCAACACGTTAAGACAGAAATTAGTGCATCCCAAAGACAAAACACCCAGACACAAACAGAGCAATGTGGTGTATTCAATTAAATGTAGTGAAGAGGAGTGCACTGACCACTATATTGGAGAAACCAAACAAACTCTACAGAAACGACTTTACCAACATCGTAGAGAAAACTCTAGTGGGCCACAGTCGGCTGTTCATCTCCACCTCAAGGCCTCCAACCACACGGTGGATGACACAGAGGTTAAAATTCTGGCTCGGGAGAAGAATTGGTTTGAGAGAGGGGTGAAAGAAGCCATTTTTGTGAGGAAACAAAAACCTTCTCTTAACAGAGGAGGAGGGTTGAGATTTGTTTTGCCTCGCATCTATGACGACATCCTAAAAACAACGCCCTAACTTGGGACAAGGTCAGTGACATGCTAATGAGTTAGGAGGGGTGAGACCTGCACTCCACTTGAGCATCCCAGCAGACAATAGGTCTGTGACATGCTAAGGAGTTAGGGTCGTTAGCCTCAGCAGGGTCGTTAGATCTGCTGTTATATATATAGTTGATAGTATAATCCTGATAGTTAGTATCAGGATTAGGGTGTGGCTAACCACACCCATAGGTTATAAATCTCCAACGCGCGGTCCGAGAATTCATTCCCTGAAGAAGTCCGCTAGGTTGAGGACGAAACGTCGGGAAAACTTGCTAAGAAGTACAGATGATGGGTGAGAAACCTTCCTTTGCTTCAATTTTCCCATGTTTCTGCTCAGGTTTAGAACTGTTTTAGTTTTTTTGAGCACTTTTTATGTGTTCATCTTGCCTTGTACTCTTTTTTTAATGATAGATTTAGGCAGCGGCGAGTGCATTTCCAAATAATCTGTCGTAGCCATTTCCTAAAAACATATTCACACCGGCAACACACAAGTCTATTCATCCCAAACTCAGAACAACAACAACACAATCCACATTTCCACCGTTACGTGCCTTTCGTGCTCTTCTTGCGGAGGGAATAACAACATCCACAAGATCTATCCCTCTCTAACATCAAATCTGCAAAACCCTGCCGTAGCCCGTGATAAAAACCGCCTCATTCTTGTAGCATTAGGAGAACCAACACCCTTCTTTCCGTCGTCGGTTTTGTCCGTGTGTACCTCTCTCACCTCGCTGTCCTTCTCCCGTAGACCTGCTGTTTGTGGGGAAATTGCCACTGGGGCTCGGGGACCTGGGCCTGGCTGGTCTCGACAACGACCTCAGCACCGGGAAGCACTCAAGACTCGGGTCAATCAACAATTAAAAGCTTGTCTGTGGTCGCTAACTCAATTGCACCACTCAGACCTC